AGTACCATCATTTTTAAGATATGATTCATAGCTTCTGTTTAGCTGTTCTAATGTCCCACACAATTAGGATTTGATAAGGTAAGGTTTATGGATAAGTGTATTGTTTCCTCCCCGTTCTGTTGCCATTTTCACTGTGATCCTGGTCTCCCTCTGTGATGTATTTGCAGAAGTGTTCAGGAGGAATCTGTTAGGGTAAAAAGTTTTTAAATCACACTAACATCCTGCATGAATGAGTTGGCTCACTGATCTAGGGAGCATTAACTGAATTAGGATAGTGGGAAATACCACATGCATCTCAGTTTTCTTTCATATGATAAAAATCACATGATGGATCAGAATTCCAAATATTCTTATGAAAACGAGATCTTTAAACAGCTTTTCTTCTTGAATGACAACCCTAATATGATCAAAATGTCAAAGAGCAAATTATCAACAGATGAGAATACTCCAAGATTTTAAAATTATTTTAAAACTTTGCAGGAGGGACATTAACAAACTTTGACACACTCAATGATCACAGAAACCTGTTGTGGCTAGGAGCAGAATGGAAATCAATAAAGAGGTGTAAAACAGATACTTTGAAAGAAAATATGGCTTGGTGTCTAAATATGAGCTCTCTGTATTGTATAATCTCCATTTTTAAATAATCTTCATATCAGACATTGATGACAAAAAGGAAACAGCTATAAACATCAGGTCCTGTTTAGTGACCTTCCCTAAGTATCTGCTTGTAAAATCTAGCCATGTAATATTTAAGAAGAGTGGCATAATATATCTGGCTCTATTTTAGGCTTAAAAGTATAGATAAAGGTTCCCCTCGCACATATGTGCTAGTTGTTCCTCTAGGGAATGGTGTTCATCTCTGTTTCAAAGCTGAAGAGCCAGCATTGTCCGAAGATATCTCTGTGGTCATGTGGCCAGCATGACTAAACACCAAAGGCACATGGAACGCTGTTNAGGGACCAACTCCCTTAGCTCCTCACCACTGCTCCAGGGCCTGACGTCAGGGACCAACTCCCTTTGGCTTTCACCGCTGCTGCTCCATGCCTCAGGCGCCTCCTGGTGGCCAACCAGCCTCTCTGGTCCCTGCTCGGAGTCTGAACCCTGTCCAGGGTCCTCCACGTCTTCCAGAGCCGACTCATAGGGCCCCTCGCTATTGGAGTCTGTTTGCAGCTCCAACGGCTCCTGCCGGGCCACAACAGGGTGCTAATTTCCTACAAGGCAATGGCAACCCACTTCTGAAAAAAATTAGCCAGCAAAAACCATGATTTAACCAGCTGCTTGGAGATGCCTTCTAGCTGGTCTGTCCTCTTCTCCAAGGAGGTGACCTCAGGCTGCCTTTACTTGCTGGAGAAATCTAGAATTGCTCACCTCAAATCTACAACTTTCGATTCTTTTTAGTGGCTTGCATAATTTGTAGGTGGTTTTGTGTGTTTTGCTACTGTTTTCTTGTGTTTCCCCAGGGTCAGGAATAGGAGAAGAGCAGCTATAAAAATTAAAGCAATAAATTAAGTCAGTTTATGGTGACCAGGAACCCTTTTTATAGTCAGCCAAGTCGGCGGCTCTCTCCAGATCTTGGAAGACGTAACGGGCACTTTGTCCCGTGGGAAGAAATCTTTCTTTTTGTCTTACTTCCCCTTTTTTTCAACCACATTAAACATCTGATTATTTTGAGAAGGGGCAGCTCTTTCTGAGCCCTTGGACCGTAAGGGGGAAGAGAAAACATCCCCTCTGAGGCTGTTGCAAGAGAAAATTCGTTTGCATCAAACATACATCCAATTTGCAAGATTGCTCTCCGGTAAGACGTCTCATAATGATTACACGGACTTGGGTATAACATCCGTGGGACCCTTGGATAAAGCTATCAAAATACTTTGAAAAATACATCACCCGCAGATAAGACTACCCTAGAAATTTTATATTGTTTTACGTTTTTACAGTTGGCTTCATCCTAGGCGGGGAGGGGGGATTCAGCCGGTTTGGAACGGTTCGAGCGATCAGCTGGGGAGTTTGGGAGCTCTGACGATCAGGTGGGACCGCCTACCCACCCCTGCGCTTTACTTACCTATATCAGCTGATTTGCGCGACAATTATTCTAAGCCTAACTCAGTGATGGCATGCTCCGTGGCACGCAGAGATATATTTCGTGGCACGCCAATGGTCAGCTCTGGCGCAGGCACGTATTGACCAGCTGATTTTTTGCCCTTCTGGAGATTCAGGGGAGGCCGTTTCCGCCTTCCCCAGGCTTCCCTAAGGCTCCGGAGGGCGTAAAACGCCCCAACAGGCCAACCGGAAGTTCAGAAACGATCCATTTCTGGCTTCTGGAGGGCCTCCGGGATGCCACAGGAGGCCTTTTTCATCCTCCCCAGGCTTCAGGAAAGCCTCCAGAGCCTGGGGATGGGTCGCGCGTGCATGCGCAGGTGTGTGGGTGGGGAGATTGAGTGGGCAACCATGTATATGCGATCGTGTGTGTGTGCACGGCATTTTGGCATGCCGTAAGAAGAAGGTTTGCCGTCACTCCCCTAGGTAATCCAGGGATTTATCTGTTTTTCCTGATATTTGGACTAAACATTTGAAGGTCAGCTTATCCATAGAGGGGTTTATAGATGAGTATTGTACATATTTCTTCCGTTCAATCGCGTCCAGTTCTTAAAAGGCAGCCTGGGAAGTCCCTGCAGTTTTCTTGAGAAGGTTTTTTCCCCCCCAGAAATGCTTAGTTCAGTGATCATAAAAATAGAGAACTGGAAGGGTGGACTCAACATTTTGCCGAAGGTTGAGCAGCTTTAAAAAGAGTTGCACAAATTTGTGGTTGGGTAACCAAACAACGATGGTGCCATTTCCGATAAAGGGCAGCCGGTATTCTGACTCGCAATTCTGAATTTTATAGTTGCAGCAAAGAATTAAAAGTGACCAGAGTGATATGTAAAAACTGAAAGTGGTCCCTCCGTTCTGATGGCAGCAGGAGAGGGGAGCCTCTGTGTCAAACTCTCTTGTCAGGTTTCTGAAAGACGCCCTAATTAACTTATGAGCCTCGAGCCAAGTTTCAAAAGAAATCCAGTCATTTATTAGGAACAACATCTTGGCAATCCCTGCGTGGAATCAGATCTGATGTCAGTTTAATGATGGCTGAACTTTACCCCTGGGTCTACCCTCCTCTCAGTCTGTGTCATAAATCACATTCCCAACGAGGTGCCGCAGCAGGTTGTAAAATCTCGGGCCTCGCACGCTTGCTGTAGTGTTCTAAGATCCGACTCTAGCCGAAAGGTATGCATGGAATTCTCTCTTCCCTTTCCTCCAATGTCAACTCGAGAAGAGACATGGAAATGCTTTACAAGTTGACATGTTCTACCATATTTTTCAGCGTATAAGACCCAAAAAGAGGGTGAAAATTCAGGTGCGTCTTATACACCGAATGTATCAGGCTGCAATAATGTGTTGAAGCTGACCGGGCTATTTGCTATTTGCTCCAAGGATGTGTAAGATTTTGCAGATATCTAGCTATCTATCATCTATCTATCTATCTATCTATCTATCTATCTATCTATCTATCTATCTATCTATCTATCTATCTATCTATCTATCTATCTATC